TCGACGGAGCTACAATGAAATCTCAATATTTTTTGCGGGAGCGTGGCTGAGAAACACAGAGGGTACAGCACACACAAGGAAACACAGCAGAGATTCACAAGCGGCCAATGAATGCCAGAACAGCCATGGTAGTATGGGCAATGTGGCATGTATGGGCAATGTGGCATGGATGTGGGCACATTCAAATAGATGCAATCTGAACTATATGTATCCAACATGGCACAATGTGGGCATTATAAAATTGAGGCAAAGTGGCATGTGTGGGCAATGTGGTATGAAATTGGGCATATTAAACTGGAGGCAAACTGAAATCATGGTGATCCTTTTACTAGCATCCTATAGTGATTAATCATGGTGATCCCCTTTATTAGAAATCAATAGTGACTAATCTAAGTGATCCCCTTTTATTAAAAAATAACACATCTCAAAATCTGCATTGTGTGAAGTGAAAGGCACTATGTTTTTGGGTCTTGATAAAGTAGAAAAAGATTGGAGAGGAGGGGATTATAATAACAAATTAAGTAAACGAGAGATGGAATGGATTTTTTAATTAAACACTCTGATCCCTAATGCAGATTTTGAGATGTGTCATTTTTTAATATAATATTTTAGTTTTTATTCTTATCCCTTATATTTTATGTTTTTAGTTTTCATTACATATATTTACGCTTTTATATATATATATATCCTATAATGTATATCTATGTTGGGTTTATTCTATTGTCTAATTTATTCTTGATGTTTGATATAGACACATGATCCCCTTTAATTCCATATGGACATATCACTTTATTCTGTCCATATAACAGACCTACTACTATATATTATATCATGAGATTTATTAATGATTTATTTTAGAATTTGTTTATGGTAATCATTATCATCTGTCTATTATTTTTATTCCTAAATGGCTACTGTTTATATCTATTTTTTTAATGATACACTACCATAGTCTTGTGTGAGGCTTTATTGCCTAGTATGTGTTTTTTCACGAAGAATATGTGCTCTTTATTCCATACGATATCTCTGGACCCGGAAACGAGCATATTAGCCGGTGGAACGCATATTGAAACGCATCACCGTAAATGACATACTGGCATGGAATGCGGAAGCAACTGAGGTGAACCGCAAAACCGGAAATGAAAGATCGGCAGAGGAGAGAGGTTTGAAAAGCAGGGCATCACCGTCTAGATGGTGAAAGCCCGCGAAAATAGAAACCTGAGAGCAATTAATTCCCCCATTAGAGGGGTATATATAGCAGAAAAGAAGATCAAGGGAGATTACAGAAACTTTTTTCTACCCAGCTGAGGAAGTCATTGAGGTGAAACGCGTCCTGGGACTTTGTGAGCATAGGACTCTTAATTATTGGACTTTGATTTGCCTGTTTATTATGTGTGTTTTTTAGTATTTTATTGTTATTTCAATAAATATATATTTTTTTAAATCTTACACACTCAAGGCAATTATATATATTTTTTTTTTCCTGCTATTAAAAGAAGGAATGTGGTCCTTAACCACATGCGCTATCTGATTTGAGCCTAATTGGAAGGCTCTGGTTTTGTGAGTACGATTTACTCTTATGCTTCACCATTTAGAGGAATATTGCAATATTGCACCATATCTGCTCTCTTTTATAATATAGGAAAAAGTCATCAAGTGTATCTCCTAAAAAGAAGGGAAAGGGTCGCCTCAACGGACCCCAAAAGCGCAATAATTGAGCTACACTTTTTAGCTCATAAAATTGTGAGTGGTGACTTGTCTTTATTTTTATAATTTTATTTTTCATACAGTTTACACTATGATGTGTTTTTATTTTTTGTTTTAAAGGGAGAATATATTGTAATAAGATTCTACTATAGACACTGATATAAGGTATACATGCATGTTTCTTGTTGATCTCACTGCACAAGTGTTGTAGACAAAACCCGCACTGTACTAACACTAAGCACTTCACCATTTCCATTGATATTTCCGCACTATAAGATAAGAACAGGTGTTTTAGCTGCTTTATTTATTTTCACACTGTGATATTAAGAACTTATATCCAATATTATAGCGCTAGTACTGAATTGCTTTTTTTGTAATCTGCTAAATAGTACATTTGCAGCCTGCTGTGCACTTCATATCTGAGAGTCAAATCGAAGCGTGTAATAGTTTGCTTACAGCACAGTTGTAAAAATTCTAATTGTTTTGCTGCTAATCTGCTGCTTACATTGGAGTTTTAAAAAGTAAATTAAAAAAAAAAAAGATTTTGGTGCTACATAGTATATTTGGGGAGTTCACTTCATATCTGAGAGTCAAATCGAAGCGTAACTTTGATTCAAATTTACTACATTGGTCACTTGTAATATTGTTTTACACCTACAACACTTGTTACACAAATCAAAGTGATAGAAAACAGATTTATATTTTCTACTTTAGAAACTACCAGATAACAAGTTGCTATATTTAAACCAGTTATCAATAGCTAAGAGGTACTTAAACAATATTGTAATTCTGGGGCAATACCCTCACAAGTCAAACTGAGAGGTCAGTTTATAGGTAGTGATGTCGCGAACCCGAAATTTTCGGTTCGCGAACGGCGAACGCGAACTTCCGCAAATGTTCGCGAACCGGCGAACCGCCCGAAACGCCATTGACTTCAATGGGGAGGCGAATTTTAAAACACACAGGGACTCTTTCTGGCCACAATAGGGATGGAAAAGTTGTTTCAAGGGGACTAACACCTGGACTGTGGCATGCCGGAGGGGGATCCATGGCAAAACTCCCATGGAAAATTACACAGTTGATACAGAGTCTGGTTTTAATCCATAAAGGGCAGAAATCACCTAACATTCCTAAATCACAATCAATATGGATTGACACCTGACATATGACATATTGACACCTTGACATATGGATTGACACCTGTCCTCAGAGCCCCTGATGCACACGGACACAGAGCAGAATAGAGACTGGTCCCCCTACATAGGGTCACTTGGCAGATATGGATTGACACCTGTCCTAAGGATCCCTGATACACACTGACACAGAGCAGAATAGGGACTGTTCCCCCTACATCGGGTCACTTGGCAGATATGGATTGACACCTGTCCTAAGGTTCCCTGATACACACTGACACAGAGCAGAATAGGGACTGGTCCCCCTACATCGGGTCACTTGGCAGATATGGATTGACACCTTGTTACAAACTGCTATTTGTAACGGGCCCTTTAAATGGCAAATTGCCCTGCTTCCCTGGGTTGTGGAGAAGCCTATTTGCCAGCCTCCTCCCGCATGACTATGGCCCCTGGGAGATTGTGAAAATGTATGCACTTTTATTTGGTGTGTATGGCCCTTTAAGACTGTCGGTGGGCATATTGGGGCTTATGGACTCTTTATGTGACTGGTGCTGGCCCTTTAAACACCTTTTTTGGGACATCAGGAAGATTGGGACACTGCCCCTTTAAGGCCGTGTCCCCAGACTTGTTGGGGACACGGCCCCTTTAAGACGGTGTCCCCTGTGTCCCCAGACCTGGTGCAAACCCTTTGTGCCTGCCTTGCTATTTCCCACTTGGTTCAGTAAATGGGAAATTATTTCAGCTGCAGAGACTAAGTCCCATTCAGCGATGGGACTTAGTCTTTTTTTCAGCCGTTTTTTTCAGCCTTATTTCAGCTGCAGAGACTAAGTCCCATTCGCCATGGGACTTAGTCGTTTTT